TTTTTTTTTTTTTTTGGTACCGGGGATCAAACTCAGGTCCTTGTGCTTGCGAGGGAGGCGCTGGAACCACTGAGCTAAATCCCCAGCTGTAAGGTGTGACTTTTAAAATGCCAGCTCTTGCTCATTGGGTTACCGGAGCCCTTACATTAGTGGAAATTCTTCAGTTCATTTACCTATTAATGTTTTCTTTTTCTCCAGCAAGAAAATGAAGACAGCTCAGATGCGACAACACCTGTCCCTCGGGTGTGAGTATAGTACCATAATGGTGGGTGGTTTCCCGTGAAGCTGAGGTTTAGTCTTGCCACGGTTCTGCTGACCTGTTTTAGTATGTTAGAGTGGTAACGGACCTTACTGCTCCCAAGAGGCTGTTCATCCTCACTTGCCTCAGCATAGCTTTGGAGGGCAGTATAGGCTCGTTATGGAATGGGTGGGAATGTACAGTAGGGTCTCAAAGGAGACATAATCTGCCTTATAGTGGTCGTACTGTTTACCATGTGTATCCCTCCTGAGATCCCATTTGAGAATGGTTCCTCTAGTCTGGCTGCTGCAAATAAATTGGGTAATGAGGTTACAAGTTGCTGAAGGTCAGTGAAAGACCTCCACTAGTTTATGTCCCTTGAAGTCTAGTTTTGGGTTGCTTACATCATGTTGTCTCATGTTAATGTTTCCTGTCTGGTGTGGTTCTGCAGTTAGTCTTTTTTTTGTAATTCTTTTGCGGTAAAAAATTACTGGGACCCTATGCATGGCCCTGTGCGTGCTAGGCAAGTGCTCCACTGTTGAGCCACACTTTCAACCTCTGCAGTTAGATTTTTGAAACTCCAGCACAGAAACTAACCCTAAGTGTGTCAGAATGTGTGTTCACATAATGGGATCAGTAGTTTCCTTAGGAGGTAGGAAGAATAATACCCTTATCATTTGTGACATTCAGAAGTCCTTAGTTCCCCTCAGGCTGAAGTTTTTGCCATTAGATTGGGCTTACTTAGCAGCAGTATTGAAAATACTAGGTAAAGATGTCAGCTATTTTTCCACCTATGCAGTATTTTTCTGGATTTCTAAGAATAGTCATTTTGGAAATATTAGAGGGAATTACTTGGTATGAGCTAGATAGTGGACTTTGTAGTAGTTGAATAGTAACAGTGAGAATAGTTCTGTGTGCTAGAGAAGAGTGGCACATCTGTGGCCCCTCACAGCTCTTAGAGTTGATACAGAATTCTTTCTGTGTTCTAGAAGAACTGACTACGTGGTGCGGCCCAGCACAGGGGAGGAGAAGCGGGTGTTTCAGGAGCAGGTAAGCACCTAGAAGGCAGTGTAAATCTTGGTGTCCATGAGGCTGTGCTGAGTTGATTGTCCTTGAGTCCACCATGGAAAGTCAGGCCCTCACCTCAGACATTATTGTTGGTTAGATATGTGTGCAGCTGGAAGTGGTGTGAAGAAAGGGATATGAACCATTTTGATGCTCTTCTAGCAAAATGCATTTTATTTCCTTGTGCTTTGCTAGTGGTGACTGAAGATTATGCTTTTCTTACTGTGGTTGACTCATCAATCCTACTGGAATTATCTGTTTCTTTCCTGTTTTAATCTCTCCATATGGATCCCCTTGCTGTACAGGAGCTCTAATTCTGACTCAGGAGCCTTCTCTCTCTTCTCGCTAGGAGCGTTACAGGTACAGCCAGCCCCATAAGGCATTCACCTTTCGCATGCATGGCTTTGAGTCTGTGGTGGGGCCAGTGAAGGGTGTGTTTGACAAGGAGACCTCCCTCAACAAGGCCCGGGAGCATTCCCTGCTGCGCTCGGACCGACCTGCATATGTCACCATCCTGTCTCTTGGTATGTGGTATATGTATCTGTTATCAGGGATTTATTTTTTGTCCTGTAGCTTTTTTCAAGAGAACTCTGTCCTCCCCTCACAAACTCACTCCCTTTCACACCTCATTCATCTAGGTCAGGCTTATCAGTAGTTGGAAGCTTTGGAGTCTGAGAGATGAATGGGGATTCTGGCCCTAGAGATTGATGCCCTAAAATTGGTGTTTCTTCCTGAACTTAGGCTCTTATGTTTATTCAGGAATTGCTCACAAACCAGCTAAACTGTTAGGGTAGGTTATAAGAATTTGCTTCATAATCATAAGAATGATTTTTAGATGCCATGAATCCCTTTGGCAGTCAGGCAAAACCTGAATTTCCCTTCTCAGAATTACACTTTAAAGGCATAAAATAAAATGCTTAGAGTTACAAAGGAAGTTATTCATGCTGAAAACTTTATCAAGATGTCTTAAAAAGAAGTTTATATACAGAAATAGATGTTTTTACTAATTGACAAGATTGAACAGCAGATCTAACAACTTCTGTAGCTTCCAAATGGGGATAAATGTAGATTTTATTTTGAGTTGTCTTTAATATCTGTAATATATGAAAATATGAGTTGTGCCACAGTCACAGCACTTCCATTATATGGCTTACAACCTTTATTATAATTGAAGGAAATGCTAAATGTCAGTGAAGATGTAGCATTTTTCTCCTCAAGTTCTTGGACCCATTGAGTGCTAGGGCGTCTTGCTCTTCTGCCTGGCCCGAGTGAAGAGTATGTAGGAAACTCCAGTGGCATAGCTGCGGGCCACTAGAGGGCGTGTATTCCTGATGTTGATTGGGGAGGCTGAGCCACAGGAACCAAAGGGAGCAGGACCCCACTACCTGGGTTGGGTTGTCATTACTTGATAGAACTGTGACTTGACTCCCAGACTTTGCATTTTCTGATGCCATCAGTTCGGGATGCTGCCGCTCGGCTGCCTAATGGAGAAGGCACACGGGCAGAAATCTGTGAGCTGCTCAAGGACTCCCAGTTTCTTGCTCCAGATGTCACCAGCACTCAGGTAAGCTGGAGAAACACTTTTGAATTGCTTGTTCCAGAATGGAGTTGAGAAAACTCACTAGGAATTGTAAAGAGAATACATCACTTTTTTCTTTCATGCTGAAGCTCAAACCTAGAGTCTTGCACATGTGCCTGGTGGGCACTGCACCATTGAGCTACATGCTTCTTACTACCTTAGGCCCCAATGTTATTTTTCTTTTTTTAAATGTGGGGAAAGGGATTTGAGATTGACCTGACATGCAATCCAGGCTGGTCTTGAACTCACGATCCTCCTGCTTCCTTCTGAATCCTTAGATCACAAATGTTTGTGCCCACCATTACTTTTTAAACAACTGAAAAAACTGAATGTGTTGGCAAGTGCCTATAATCCAAGTTTGAGAGGCTGAGGCAAGATGATCATACATTCATGGCCAGCCTGAGAACAGTGTGAGAACCCCTGTCAAACAAACAAATAATAACTGAAAGAAAAAGAAGAAAAAGGACATCTTGAAATAGTTGCTAGTGATGACCAGAAACTTGCTGTCAGTGAAATACGAGTTTGGCTCTAAGCTTTCCTCTGGTTTACAGTACAAGAGTTAACAGGTACAATCACTGAGCAAATGTCATCCTTACAATAGAAGCATATCAGTGCCTCAATAGTCTTGCAGCACTTTTTGGTGAGCCACTGGGTGGTCGTAGCTGGGCTGAAATAGAATCTATCAGCTGTGCCGATCCACTGACTTCTCTAGAGTCCAAACAACTTCTGTTATTGTTTCTGACTTGTTCCTTTCTTCTCTCTGCTCTGATCTTAGGTGAACACGGTAGTTAGTGGTGCACTGGATCGCCTACATTATGAAAAAGACCCTTGTGTGAAATATGACATCGGACGAAAGCTGTGGATTTACCTGCACCGTGACCGGAGTGAGGAGGAGTTTGGTGCGTGAGGCCTGTGAGCAGTGTGTCAAGTTGGCATTCAGGCAGGAGATTCATGGAGGCAGGATCCAGTCCAGCAGTGAGACTACCAGCGAGGCCTTGGTTTTTAATGAAGCCCCTCCCTTTAGCATGTCATGGTCAAACTCTTGGTGAAGCTTACTATACTCTTCTTCACAGAGCGGATTCACCAAGCACAGGCAGCTGCAGCTAAAGCCAGAAAAGCACTTCAGCAGAAACCCAAGCCTCCTCCTAAGATGGTGAGTGACCTCATGAGAACATCTGCGAGAAAGATTCAGGGGTGGAGCAGCAATGTGCATGCTTGGCTTTCACTTAGCTTTGTGTATCAGGAGCTTCAGGACCCATGTTCTCATGATACCTATTGTGAATTCTCCCTTGTCTTCTTCGTAGAAGTCTAGTAACAAGGAGAGCTCCATGAAGGTCCTCAGCAGTGGCACTTCTGAGCAGAGCCAGATGAGCCTCAGTGACTCCAGCATGCCACCCACCCCGGTCACACCTGTAACCCCTACCACGCCAGCATTACCTGCCACACCCATTTCCCCTCCACCTGTGTCATCAGTGAACAAAAGTGGTCCAACAACTGTCTCTGAACCAGCGAAGTCTAGCTCAGGGTAAGTACTTCCATTTCTTCTCCAGCTTTTTCCCCCTACAATCCTGTGCTCCTCTCCTAAGTTTTTGGTTTTTTTTGTTTGTTTGTTTGTTTTTGATACTGGGGATCAAACTTGGGACCTTGTGTTTGTGAGACAGGCAGTGGAACCACTGAGCTGAATCCCTGGACCCCTCCTCCTAAGTTTTTGATCTTGGTTTTTCCCTGAATTTCCTCATAGGGTTCTTCTAGTATCCTCACCAACAATGCCACAGCTAGGAACGATGCTTTCCCCAGCTTCCAGCCAGACTCCACCCAGTTCTCAGGCCACTGCCAGAGTTGTGAGTCACTCTAGCTCTGCTGGGCTGCCCCAGGTACGAGTAGTGGCCCAGCCCAGCCTTCCTGCAGTCCCCCAGCAACCAGCAGGGCCTGCACCAACACTGCCACAGATGCCAGCAGGACCTCAGATCCGGGTGCCAGCCACTGCCACACAGACCAAAGCTGTGCCCCAGGTAAACAGGGAAACTCAGGCCATTGGGAACAGGGGCAGCTGACCCCCAGGGTTGGCTGATGAGTCAGCAGGCTATGTCAGGAAGGAGTGGGGAAGCTGGTTTGGTGCTGTTGCTGATGAAGTTCACTGAAACAGCTCGTTAATTTTCGAAACTGGTCAAGCATTTATTTTGACATCTTGGAATCAGACCTTCTAAGCAGTTTAGTGCTTTACCTGGGATTGTAGTAGAAGGACCCTTGTGTCATCTTTAGCCATGACACTGGTTGGTATACGATTTTTCAGAGCCTCTTTGCTGGGGGCTGACATGTGGAAGACCCTGTTGAAGTACTGATCTCCATCTCACTTTTTAATCAAGCATTTGATTTCATGCCCCGAATTAGGCTGTCATGGCCACTGTTCCAGTCAAAGCGCAGACTGCAGCAGCCACTGTGCAGCGGCCTGGCCCTGGGCAGACAGGGCTCACGGTGACAAATCTTCCTGCTGCAGCCAGCCCTGTGAGCAAGCCAGCTTCGAGTTCTCCTGGGAGCTCAGCTCCAAGTGCCTCCACAACTGCTGTCATTCAGAAAGTCACAGGACAAAACATCATTAAGCAGGTGGGTCAGCCTAATGCTTGTGTACTAAAGAGAGGACTGCTGGATGCTAGCTTCCTGAAGAGATTGCATGCCCATCAGAAAAGGTTTGTCATCTTGGACCCTTAAGATTGAGTTCCCATCCACAGCAGTGCAGCCTTTCAGTATACCCAAGAGAGTTCTTCTGTTTCCATAGAATTCAGCATTTGGTAGTTGAATTTCTGTATTTAAAGTCGGTGCTTCATGAACTTAACTTGGTTACATTCCTATGACTTTATTTTATTTTGTTTATTTTTTTGACAGGAAAATATTCCAGTTTTTGTTTTTGCACATTATTCTCAATTACACAATTACAGTATATCACATATCACTATGTGATTTTCTTTTTATGTATTTTACTTTGTTTTACTAAGTATACAAAGGAGGAGACATTCTCTCTCTCTCTCTCTCTCTCTCTCTTACATTCCTATGACTTTATTTTATTTTGTTTATTTTTTTGACAGGAAAATATTCCAGTTTTTGTTTTTGCACATTATTCTCAATTACACAATTACAGTATATCACATATCACTATGTGATTTTCTTTTTATGTATTTTACTTTGTTTTACTAAGTATACAAAGGAGGAGACATTCTCTCTCTCTCTCTCTCTCTCTCTCTCTCTCTTATATAT